ACAATAATTTATGCTGTGAAATTAAGTTTACTTGGACAGTTTAATGGGTAAAAGGCATCAATTTTTAATAACATCAAACACTGATTGTGTTGTATCGGTGTAGTTTATATATGCTATTTGTTCTCGATATAACTGTTCCAAATTGCAACACTTTTGCTTCATTCCCATGCTCACCTGCTTCACCCTGGAATCACGAAACCCTCACGTGCTCATGTTGCTAGAACATTCTAGAAGTCCCTCGACTGAGCATAAAGTGGCAGTCAGTTGCCTCTCACTCAACTCAGTTGGTCCCTTTACCTCGCTCCACGCACAGTCAAAACGAAGCTCGATTTTCTTTCTCGCATAATATCTGCGATATAATCAAATTCTGCAAAACTTTGTTTTTAAAATCTTTTAAATTATAATTTTGTAAACATCACCCAAACAGTTTCTGCTACATTTGTGGAAAATTACAGTTTCACGAAGGCAAAACATGACAAGCAAGGTAAAAGTAGCTTACTACCACTATTTTGGGTGTAAAATTGGTGATCAAGAAAAACATTAGACTCCACATGTGTGTTGTACAATTTGAACATCTGGCTTGGCACAGTGTCTGAATAAAAAGAAAGCAAGTATGCCATTTGCAGTTCCCATGATATGGCATGAGCTCAAAGATGATCGTCAAATTACTTGGAAACAATTGCATTTTTTCTAATAGCAGAGAATTTTTTGTTACAGAATGGGATCATACAACTTTCAGAGAGCACTTGATTGTTTTAAGTAGTCAGAAAGAAGAAAAATACACCAAGGTTCTGTGTTGGTTTTAGATGTGTGAATGCAGTAAATTGCATTGATGCCTTATTTTTACCATGAATAGATGAATGTGTGGGAACATTAGAAAGTTCCTGTTGGTTCAACACCCTGGGTCTGGTGTAAGTAGATGACGAGAGCAGGCCATTTGGCTGTTTAATGCACCAGCTACTTTTCAGTGGCTGATGGAGCTTATACTGAAAGGAGAGACGTTTGGTCTATGTAGACGATGCTTTGATGTTTGGTTGCATTTTTGAGTCTGCATTTGAGAACATAAAGAGTGTATTCCAACACATACAAAATGCAGGACTGAAATTGAAACCAGAAGAGTATTCACTCATGTGAACAGATATAGAGCTTCTTGGTCACATTGTGGGTGAAATGGTCTCTATGAACTAAAGAAAGACTTGATTCGACCTGTGATGTTTTTTGTTTTGGAGCAAAGCCACATACAGCTATCTGCTGTGTCCACCACGGGGAATCAAACCTCGGCTTTTAGCATTATACGTCCTATTAAGTTTACTAAGCAGATTCCTAAACCAAAATACAATTCAAATTAAACAAACAGCATTTATTTAAAATAAATTCTAAAATTAAAGAAAAACTCTAAACAACGTAATAACGAAAAAGAAACCCAACTCCAAGAGAAACAGCATACACAGATATAACAAACTTGATCACGTCAATAAAAGTTACCTCAGCCAGTTTTCTTAACAATTAGGCCTTAACTATTTATTAATTAGATAACGGCTAAGAGCATATAATACAAGCATAGCTGAGAACAGATCACCATTGTTTAAGGCTTGTTTTGTTGTTGTTTTATTCTGTATTTAATGGAAGAAAAGAAAAGTGAAATAAATAATAAGTTCAACAAAGGTACAAGAAATGATAAAACTTTTACTATGAAACCACCACAGAGTCAAAGCAAAACGACTTCATCTACAAATGTAGCAGTGAAAGATTTAAACATACTTAATAAAGTCAAATATGAAGACCAAAACCCCCAAAATAACTGCCTTAAGTATATTAAACTGTATAACTCAGTTAATGTGTGTAGTAACAATTAAAACAATAATAAAAACCATTTTTCTAAATAATATAGTCACAAAACACAAAAAAATATTTCATTGGGATACTTGCTAGTTGCCAAATGAAGCAGTAATTTTATGTATTACTTAATCTTTGGAATAAACTGGAAATGAAATCCTGACAGAAATATCAATAATAACTGCATGTTAAAATAACTATTGATTTGAACTACATATAAGCTCCAATGGGAATCATATTTAAAAGACATTGTTCACTCAATGAGAAAACAAAAATTCATGAAGGTCACATATGCATAATTATTCAGCAATAAAAATCCTGCTGACATTACAACTACATAAATAATGCAGCTACAACATTCACTAGTTCAAAAATTATCTGGTCTAACTGTTAATATTTAAAAAGTGAAACATAAGATGCTATATTAAATTTAATGAAAGCAACTTTACATACAGGTCACATGCTGAAGGCTCACACTAATGGTACCAACAATGAACTACAAAATATTTAAAAGTATATATATATATATATTTTTATATAGATTATAGTGATAACAAGGGCCTCTGAGATAATTTCCACTTAGATTGAACATTTTGTAAGCTCCATATTTAGAAGCAATTAGATGAAGTTGTAATTTCTTTTCAGGCACATTGTGCTACTATATTAATATTAAAAAACACAAAATCCAACACTTTTTGGCACAATGAAAGGTAAAATCTTTATTATCAGTTACAACTAACTCATTTCGGTAACACATTTTACACCATCAGCCCTGATGATGGTAAATGTGTTCCCGAAACTAGTCTGATGTAACAAATTATAAAGACTTTACCTTTCATTGCACCAAAAAACATCTGATTTTGTGTTTTTTACTCTTGACATAGATCATGTTTTGTCTGATTTTTTATTTTATTGTTCTAGTTTGCTTACTGACACATTTTTTTAAATTTAGTTTATTCACAGAGAACACAAACTATAGATCATATTTATAAGTTATGTAAAACACTTGTTTTTGCTATTGTATAATAAATTATTCTTAATAAATCTTTGAACTTTTGATTAAGTCCAAATTGTTTAGGAAATTTGAACTCCAAAAAAGTATAAAAATGTTATGTAAACATATTCCAAAATTATCACTTTCTTCCTGATAACTTTTAAATAGGTATACTTAAACAAGACAGACAGGAATAATTTCTCATTACTTACATTTGGATTTCTCAAGTTTTCCAAATATTCATCAAACTGACTTTCAACAAACTAAATGGTGAAAGAAACAAAGTATTTGTTAATTAAATCAATGTAATATTTCTTGATCATCTGATACACACACACACACACATTATTTTATAATTATTCAAAGATTTCTCTAGTCTACTACAGAAAGCAGTAAGAAAACAAAATACCATTAGTTTTGTAAACTAAAGTATTTTTGTAATATCAATACACATTTTTAAACTTGATAGTTTACAATAATAGGTCTGATGTTAGGGCACTCAACTCACAATCTGAGTGTCGAGAGCTCGAATCCCCATCACCGAACATGCTCATTTTATATGGTTGCTTATTGGGCCAGCCAGCCATCTGGGCATAAATATTTTTGGGTTACAAAAATACCACATGAACCCAAACTAGTTTGGATTAAGTTTGTACCAAAAAAAATAGTTAACCATAACAGTATCACCAAAAGAAGTATCATGCATGTACGTGTATTTCATTGAAAATTTTTATGGTATGCCAAACAAAATTATAAGGATGAACTCAAATTAAGCTAATACACTACTCTTATATTGCATATTAAATACTCATAATGAAGAGGGTGTAGTAAAACTTTTGTGCTTTCACAAATAAAGAGTAACCATAGTTTTATCTAATGATCTATTATGAATTCATATTCATTGTTTAACTTCACGTATACTAAATATATAATAATAAAGTTTGGGATAAGCTACACTAGAAAGAAACAAAACAAATAAAAACATATTGTAAAATCTTTAAGTCTCCAATAAAGAAAAAAAAATTTAGTTAGTCAAATAGGAAATTAGGACATCAAAACGGATGTATGAAAAAAAGGTTGGCTGAAAATGTAAGAATTAACAGTAAGGATTTCTTTAAATACTTTAAAAGTAAACAAAATGTTAGGATGGGGGATAGGACCTTTAAGGGATGATAAAGGGAAGTTCATAGGTGATGATTATGAGGTAGCCAGATTATTAAATTCTACTTTTACTAATGAAGAAAAAAAGCAGTATTCCTCATCTTGAACAGTTGATACAGATGGAAACAAGATGATCACATTAATTTTGAGCTTCTTAAGAAAAAATTGGAAAGTTTAAAGAACAATAAGGCTCCTGGGCCAGATAATATTTCCCAAAGCTTTTGAAGGAGGTTAAGGAGTGGATATGTGAGCCACTTGCTACTATTTTTTGTAAAACTTTTGAAAAGTCTGATGAAAGATGCTTTGCAAAGTTTTTTAAGAAAGTTTAGAATTTTATTTGATAGTCAACATGGTTTCACCAAGGGAAAAATCTTGCCTTACAAATCTTTTGACATGCTTTGAAAACTTACTGCTTGTGTAGATAAGGGTAAGAGTGTAGATTTTGTGTATCTGGACTTTCAGAAAGCATTTGACAGGGTGCCATGTAAAAAAAGTTATTTTATAAGTGTGAGGAATAAGTTAGCTAATTGGATAGAAGAGTAGCTGGATGGAAGGAAGCAGAAGGTTGTTATAAATGGAGTTCATTCAAACTGGATTAATGTAACAAGTGATCGAGGTACCTCAGGGCTCTGTCTTAGGACCTTTGTTCTTTTTGATTTGCATCAATAACATAGATGAAGAAATGATCAATAAATTATTTAAATTTGCTGGTGATATCAAGGCCTTAGGTGTTGCTGGCTGTGAGGAAGAGGATGCTGCTTTACAAAAGGATTCAGATAATTTAGTGAGTTGGTCAGATAAACAGCAGGTGGATTTTAATTACAATAAATGCTAAATAATGCATGTGGGCAATCATAATTTGAATTATACATATAATTTCGATGGAAATAACCTTAACACTGTTATCAAAGAAAGGGATCTTGGTTTAGTGGTTGATCAGTCTCTTAAGCCATCTGGGCATTGTGCTGTTGCTAGTGGTAGAGCACAAGGTATTTTAGTTTGTATCTACAGAAATATTGAATACAAATCTGAAGAAGTTATAGTTTCATAGTATAGGTCGCTGGTTTGGCCACATTTGAGTATTGTGTTGAGTCTTGGGCTCCTTACCTTAGGAAGGACATTAAATTGTTGGAAAGGGTTCAGAGGATGGCTACTAGAATGGTGTCTGGGATGGAGGGGTTGTCATACGAGGAGAGGTTAACATCCCTGAAATTATTTTCTCTTGAAAAAAGAAGAGTTAGAGGGGATCTGATTAAGGTGTTTAAGATTGTTAATGGAACTGGTAGAGTTGATGCATCATCTTTTTCCATATTTAATGGTGAGAATAGTAGGACTATAGAACACAAATATAAATTTTGGCAGTGTAGGAGTCATCTTCAACAAAGACAGCATTATTTTTAACAGGGTGATTGGCCTATGGAACAGGCTGCCTATGGAAGTTGTGGAGGCAGTACATTTAAGTGACTTAAAGAGAATGCTTGAGAACTATATGAATAATAAGGGTTGGCTTTGAGGTTTTTTAAGTAATTTTGTTTAGTTTAAAGGATAGGACAGCCCAGATTGACCAACAGATCCTTTTTTATCACTAAACATTATGTTATGTTTAGAAAAAGATGTTACTCTCTTTTACTGTGATATCACCTTTAAATATAACAGTATTTTTGAAGCTAATTTTAATGACATTTTTTAATCTAACTTAAAAAAATTTTTTAAATCTGTTATTGTATTTATTTATTTATTTTTAGATTTTGATAGGTTTTTAACATACAGCTTCACTTTGAATGTTTAGGCTGGGAAATAGTTGAAACAAGTACATACAACAAGTAAAAGCTTCCACAAAATTGCAGAGTATCTACTGTTGTTACACTGTGCCCTTAAAATTTAACCACTGAACAAGAATAACTGACTTAAAAATCCTATAATATATAATGATCATTGCACTATGCTTTCCAATAAGTAAGTGAAGCTTAAACGTAATATGCTGATATGACTATAAATTAACAAGTTTGAAAAAGTACAACATGTGGGACCACTAAATAATCTTTCTGGCAACTAATTGTTAAACGTGCATTGATAAGAAAACAGTGTCTTATGTTAAAAAATTAAAATGACTTTTGGTTCCCATAAAAACTAGCATTACCCTGTACTAAAATTATTTGCCTTCACTTTATGTTTAATCACACAGGCCTGCGATGGTTTTATTGTCTTGTAATTTTTACAAGTCCTACAGTAATTCCTGTATGCTGAATCTGAAAATGATATTAATTTTTCTCCATCATTTACAGATTTTTCACAAAACGTCATATGCACTTATACATAAGTGAATCATTTTTATTGAAATCGGGTCACATTTAATTATGTTTAAAATGTTGACAACTGCTGGCTATAGATTTTTCTAGACCAATCGCCATGTAAAAGTTTTATCGATCAATTCTAGAAACCACGGGAAACACTGCTAGTATATAAATGGTTAACAGGCCACATGACGTGTCATTTCTGGATAGTATTTGTTTGTGTGTGCACTTTGACATTATTTTTTTTATTTACAATATTATTTATATGTCGTTATGGCAACAAAAGGTTATGTAAATGACCCAAACATATTCTGTTATATTTGTGGAAAATCTGTTGCATAAAGAAGCAATGGCCATGCAGAGTCAGCTTGATACCAAGATCAAAAAACATTGAAAGTGAAAGTTTGGTTGACACAAAGACCTATTACCTCCACTTCACATAAGACTGGGCTTCGTGAAGCAGTTTGTAAAGGCCTTAGAGAAAGATGGTGACTATTTCAAGTATCTATGAGGACAATTCTCAGCTCTTCCAGAAGCAAAACTTAAAGAAGGGATTTTTGTTGGGCCCCAGATTAGAAAATTGACTTCAGATGAACAGTTCATAAGGACAATGAGGAAAGTTAAGAAAGAAGCAAGGATTGCCTTTAAAAATGTTATTGACAAAGTTTTAGGAAACAACAAGGATCCAAATTAAGAAAATACTGTCAATAACATGCTCGATAACTTCAAAAAGTTGTGTTGTAATATGAGCTTGAATGTTCATTTCTTACAGTCACATATTGACTATTTCCCTGAAAATCTTGGTGCCGTCAGCAAAGAACAAGGAGAAAGGCTTCATCAAGACAACAGGGAAATGAAGAGGAGGTATCAGGGAAGGTGGAACATCAGCATAATGACTGATTACCGCTGGTCATTGGAACCAGATCTCCAAATGAAATACATAAATGAAAGACCAAAACACGTAGTTTTAAAACTAAAAAACGTAGATTTAACACACACAAAAAAAATCAGGATGAATGAAGATGCATATTCATTTGACAACAATGTTCTTCCCTTTTCTTTTTTGTTAACAAACATAATAATAAAATGTTCATTGTGGTAAACGAAATAATAATTTGATCTAATTAAGAGTTTTTTTTTCTTCTCAATTTATAAAAAATCCTTACGTGATAGAAAAAATGAATATTATTATTATGAATATTATAACCTAGCTGAATTATAGAAAGTCCCTCATTAAAACCAAAACAACTTTTATGAAGTTTAAGTTCGCAGGCCTGTGTAATATTTATTTGTCTGACATAAAATATGATCATATGCTTTGAAAAAATATCAATTAAATGGCTTTATGCACATAAACATAAAATGTATTACTTACTGATAACCGCGTTTGTTTAATAATTTTTAGTATTTTGTAAAATAAGTCAAATTAATTATCTTACCATTACACACATTCAGTTAATAGAATTATAAATTAACTGACCTTCTGTATCTTAGCCTTTTATTTGCAGTTTCCTACTTCCTAGTATCTATAGTAAGACTTAGGTTATTCTGTTCCTAGTAATGATGTGAAAATTTCAACTATTCAATTGTTGAATGGGTACTAATATCTGGCCAAACAGTGTATATAGCAAGAAAAAAAAGAATACTAACAAAATTTTTTTTACAACCCTAATAACCGGGTTTATATAAGGTACTTTTGTATAGAAAACAATTATAAAAAGTACGAACCTCAACAAAAACTGATCTGTTCCTTTCCAAGAATCGAACACATGCTAATCTCACAGCAAGGTGATGAACTTGTGTGTAAAAAAATCTACAAAGAAAATAATATTGAATTTTAATCATAAAACATCTTCAATTAACTCAAGAATCTGATCTAAATTTTAACCTTTTTTTTAACTTTTTTTATTCAATACCCATAATATATTATTGGTGAATGTGAATAAACGTTAGTATAAAAACAGTGTTGATAGGAAATGATAAATGCTATGATAATTATGGAACAGAATGCGTTTTATATATTCTGATAAACTGAACTCATTTAGTATCTATTGAACAGAGATTTCTGAATGAGAATGATTTCACTTACGCATTCCTTTTTTTTAATTTAAGTAATCCAAAGTAAGGTACATGTTTGTTAAACTGTTTTAACCTTGATTTTGTTTTTGCTGACAGAGCTATAACATTTGTTGTTTTCTGGTGAAAAGAATACAACAGCAACTTTTACACAATTTCGATTTAATATATTTTATGAATTTATTGTACAGGTATGTTCAAATAGACATGAAGACTTAACTGAAAACAAAACTGTTGCAAAAGAAATATTTTATTTTGTAAACAAAGCACACATATTAGGCATGGTACTTAGCATCATCAGATGTGATTAGATTAGATCCTTACTGAACAATCCTGTAGAAGTGATTGTCCACTTGTTTGCACAAGTATGCAAGCTGAGTTTTCTTTTTGTTTGATTTTAATACAGACTATGTACATTTATTTCTCAAACTTATCCAGTCTTTTTACTTTTCACAAACAAGAAAACTAAGTTTTCAAACACAGATTATTCCTTAGCTTTCCTGTTTGTTCCTGCTGTTAAAGCAAACCTATTAAATACTCATGCATAAATTAACTTTACCTCAAAATACCACAAGTTGATATAAAGAAGAAATATTTATGCCATAATCATGAGATTTATTGCAGTTTCTGTTTTGCCAATATGCATACTGTCCACAACGTGATACAAGTTAAAAGTTTAAGAATGTTTTTAGCATATTCTAGATATAAAAATACTTACAACCAAGAAGGAGAGTTTGTTGCTAAAAGATAGCTGCAAGAAAGAAGTGTCAAGTCTAGAAGTCCCCCTCTCTCTCCTGGACATAGAACTTGTACCCATGATGCAAGGACCCATGACAACTGTTAGACTGAAGGGATATTAGATCATGTCTCAAGCATCTAGACCATTCTAGCAAATGATACTTCTGAGAATTAATTTCAGCAGAAGGGAAGTGCAGGTAACTAAGGGTCATCAAATTGGAATGGCATCTGGCAAGTCCAAAACCAAATGAAGAGGTCTCTACAAGACTTCTAGACTGTTACCAGTCAATAGCACCCCAACCCCAGCTCTGGTCTAGACCACCAGCAACCAATGGAGAAAGGCTTGATGTGCCACAAGAGGATGACCCTAGCACCTATACCGATAAGTGATAACTGTGAATCTTGACATATGATGCAACTTTTATGGCTACAAGGTTCCTTGTGACTTCAGCATCAGGGGTCATGCAGGGCTGTAAAACAAGATGCCTCAAGTACTTTGTTGCTCTGTCACCATGTATTACAAACTGACTACTCCTTTAGGTATTGGAGTTCCTGTGAACAGCATCGATCTAGAACAAATAATATCTGTGGTACCACCACCTAGCACTGGTTGGGATCCCAAAAAGGGAGGTGCTGGTCAGCTTCACAGGTCCCTGTGAGTGAAGCCAAATAGATTAAACCCCCCAGCATACAAAGTTATAATGAAAGAGGGCCTAGGCCAGTTTCCGAAACTCTCAGAATTTATGGCTTTAGGAACACACTGTGCAATACCTGATCTTTGATGAAATTGAACACCTGAACAAGTAACAGCAAGAGAAATAAAAGACACAGACAGTCATTTAGGAACTGCATTGCAAATTCAACCCAGTGAAAAATTAGCAGATTCATCAGGCTAAGTTCAAGGCTCAGAAGAGGATTAGCACTGATGAACTGACTGTCTATCTGGATGATTTCCATAAGCTGTACAAGAAAGCCTACTCAGCCAAGGCATCTGCAAATCTGGCGAATATTATAGTTGATAAGTTAAACTGATGGAATATCCAATGAATCCATGAAACAACTTAGTGTGAAGGGTATCCTCACTATAACACAAGCAGTTTCTGCAATGACATCTTATGAATTGGTAATTTTGGTCCAATCATTACATGAAAAATCCTACATCAACAGCTGTTGTGACTACCCCTCAAACAGACCAACCTAGACACCTCAACTATGACACATTAGGACCAAGAGTTAACCAGCTACACACATCATTGTACCATGATGCAACCACACTAGCAATGCTATCCAAATCAGTTCATGGGATATATGCTACACCAAATGTCTATGCCTCCACCTGAACATTGTCCAGTATCTGCTTTTGCTTGTGGACTGGTGGGCTCTGGAAAACGAACTGCTCATATTTTGTCAAGCAGCAAAGCTAGCAAAGAGAATCTACAATGCCAGCACACTTTGTCAAGCAGAAAAGTTGACAAGGTTATCAGTACATCTGATTAATAATTCCAGGTATACCAGCAACAAGCAGAGAATTCTGTAGCAAATGCTGTGGTAAACTAACAGAGCCAAATTGGGTTTGACAACTGGTTTATGAGGTACTATGGACAGCTTGCACAAAAGAGTCAGTGGTCAGCTAGCTCTCACAGAGCTGGGTGGAGTTTGGTATGTGCCTAAGAGTTACAATGGCAATGGTTGAGTTCCTGGTAGACAACTGAATGGTAAGAATCCTAGTGTTCTCATAATCTTTCAAGCCCTCCAAGCAATAGACCACAACTACAACCAATGAATATCAAATTTATCTGGCAAATTGTGATATACTAGACTTTAGAGGAGAGGCAGATTTTTGGTTGTCTAAAACAAAAGTAGTCATTTCTGATCTCGGATCTGGAATTGGTATCCTCAGGACGAATGTACTGTGAAGCTAGTCGATCAGTTTTATGTGCAATGGATAGTTGATGTTATGTAGGAAAATAATCTAAAGACAACCAGATTTAGTCCAATAACAGTAGAATTTATGAGTATGTATTCCATGGTTTAATCCAGATGAAATCTGATGAAACATTGTGGTTATAGAAGCCACTCATGAAATAAACTGTTTCTTGTACATAAATACAGAAAGTAGGCAGAATTAGTTCTAATAGTCATCTGTCTGACAAGGTATAAATATCCAATATGTAATTATTGGTGATCGAAAATCCAGCAGGAGGCCAAAATATTAGTAGGCATGGTAAATGATGTGAAAATAGCCAAACACATCAGTAATACTAAGGCTTCACCTGTAGCACCATGGCTGAAAGCAATACATGAATGCCAACACATCTGAGGTTCATTAAGGATTGTGCTAACAATCTAGACCCAACACAGAAAAAAGCAAATCAGTGACTTACTAAATGAATATAACGATATATTTGTGGGACCAGATAGTTAATTGGGGACTAACTAAACACCAGATAGGTACAGGTAACATGGTTCTGATAAAGCAACCATTGCCCCAGTTTCCCTTGAGCACTAGGGAGGTAAAAATCTTTCAAATGCGACTGTAGCTTTTTTTCCCCCAAAACTTTGTCTTCAAAATAAGTGTGCGTTTTATACACCGGTGCATCTTATATTCCGAAAAATACGGTAGCTACTACTTTATATTCGTCTTTACCTTAGCTACTGACTGATGCATTCTTCTTTGTACTGGCTACTACCCGACATATTTTTCTTCACCTTAGCTGGTATATTGTACGTTAATATTGTCTGAAGAATTCAACAAGATCAATAGATATCAGTTATATCACACTACTGAATTCATAATATTTTAAGTCTGCATTACTAACCTTCTTCTCGAAATCGTAGTTTGTCACCTTAAATGGAGGACTTCCAACATCTTGAAATACAATGAAGTCTCGCCTGTTTCAGTAAACATTTTTTTTTTTAACAAGTCAGCTGAATAGAAAATTTTAGACAACTTTCTTTTCTTAATTAGCTATAGATAAGTGTTTAAAATATATTTCTTAAGATTAATACCATTTCATAACAAATGTATTTATACCATAACTTTCAAATTAAGTTTAATAACTAAGTAAAAGAAAAACCCTTTGTATTATACAAATTTAAATTTTTGTGCAAATATTACTAAACATTAAAAAACCTGTATTAACTTGTCCATAGAAAATATTTCTTTTTGTTTGTTCATTGTTTGTACCCAATGCTCTCTCCATTCTGTGCCTACCAGAAGTATCAGAACCCAGTTTTTAGCATTATAAGCCTTCAGACTTACTACTGAGCCACAATTTATACATGAAGATTAACATGTTACTGCAAACATCTGTTAGTTCTAGGATTATTTGGGTATTAACAAATGAAACAGTGTAAACTAGCTAACACCAATATAAAACTCAAAGACCACAATTTAACACACACACTTCTACAGAAATATTTAATAAGATACCTTAGAAGACAAAAAACTATTAAGCATGAAAATTTCATTTTACCAACCTATTTCTTTTTATTACTATTATTAGAAAGGTAATACAAACCTGTACATAATAGCCATAGCACCCATTTCAATATGACCTGCCCACTCCTAAGAAAAAAAGACAAATCTTTAGTCTTTACCATCACTAGAAAATAATTAAATCTTTTTCCTTTGCAAATAGATATTTTCAGGAAAGACTAATATACCATTTCAAGTTATGTTGTTATGTACAAGCATGATAATTAATCTCAATAAACCGACATTTGAATTTCAGAGTTATCCACCTCAGAAACTGATTTACTACGTAATGTTAACTTATCCAATGCCATGAATCCAGATTTATCCATCCTCCTCTAAAACACTTTCAAGTGAGTTTGGAATTTTGTATAATCATGAATAAAGGGTATTCCATCAAACTTACCAAATTTTCTCGTTTCATTTTCAAGTTTCGAGTTAAATTGAACAAAAATTCAATTTGATACTTTAAAAATTAGTATATATTGTTCTAAACACAAAAGAGCTCAAAACATCAAAATAAGAAAATACCGTAAATCAAAAAAAAGGTTTACTGTTATTTAGTTTGGTTCAAAACCTACAAAATCTTCATTGCTTTCACTATAATTTTTTAAAATTTTTATTTAGAGAGCATTATAAATAGTTATGTTTTTAAAAGAAAAAAACTACTATTGTTATAAATAACACA